TTTTACCCAAATAACTTTATCATCACTTGCTTTAACATTTTAATAGGACTATTTCTCAACCCAATTCAAGGTATTCACTTCAAATATAATTAATATCCATAAATTATCATATGTTATTTTAAATAGAATACCACCAAAAAGTGTTTTAACTAATACAAAACTTTTCTGTTCAATTAACACGCTGATATCAAACATGAAATTAAACATTTGACTGTAGAAATGTGTCTTTAAAGAAGAGCATTATAAGAGGGAAAAAATCGTATAGACAACTAATTTTACGGACATTGTGTTTCAAAAAATTTTGAAGTCGTGGATTGAAATAAATATTTAAATAATCAGCAAGGAAACTACGACTATTAAATGGCAAGGTTAAGATACTGGAAAACCCCAGTTTGTCACTAAAATAGACACGGCAGGCATGCATGCTTGTTACGAAGAGGCCAATACAGGAATGTAATTGAAATTAACACTATTAACTCAATTAACGTATTGATTCTTCATGCCTCTAAAACATATGAAACATTTTGATATTCAGATGGAATTCTGTTCTTTGTCATACAGTTTCCTTTCGGTCATCATGTAGCATAAAGCCATAAAATCTATTTTATTTACATTTCATGTAGTTTCCTCCAATGGGCATAACCCGTTTCTAACTGTTGCTCACGCATGATATAGATAGTAACCGCGTACATGGCTTCAATGCTATTAGAAAACAATAAAATTCGAAACATTTCTCTATGTTTGGATATGAAGTGAATACAATGTATCTAACGAAGTTTTTACATATAACAATTTGAGCGCCAGTCATACAAAAGAAATTGTATATGTGCATTTTCATTGAAGAAAATAAGCATGCTAATATTTCAAACTGAATAAAATATGATATACAATGTATGTTATAAATACATTATGAATGTTATCCAAACATTTTTATTTTTGTGCACCAATGTATAGTTACAGCTCTTATAGCGGAGAAAAAAAACTCTTAAAAGAGGAAAGTCAAATACGATTTTGTTTGAAGAAAAATAATTCCTCGTAGCCTCGGTTTAGTTCCTTATCAGTTTCTAATTATTTATTCTTAGGTAGTGGTGTTCCTGCCCATACTCTGCCTTATGCCCTTCCCTGTTTTTGTTTGGGGTCCTCCTGGGCTCCTTGCCACTGACCCTTGTTACTGGGTCGGGTGGGGGCTGTGTTCATTGAACGCCGCCTTTCCTTGATGATCTTGTTTATCATATTTCAGTCTTGTTGTAAACTTTAAAAGTACTTATGCTCAACGCTAATAACGTTTGGGTTAACGGATTGGTTTACTTGTTGAGTTGTCAAGATCAAGTGGAATATCACCAAAGTGGCTTTTTGATTAAACAGGTAAAATACAATACAACAAGCAATTATACGCTTTTTACGAATTTTGTTTACATGATTCAAAACAACGAAACATGAATAATTGATATATGATATTTGAATGAACATGGACAAGATAAATTGGAAATCAATAATAATAAATAAATCCCACGGTTAAACAAATTGAAAAATTCTGTCAAAGTAATTTACACGTATTAATACAATATCTCAGTTGAAAATTACCATCAGCAATATGAAAACTTGTGAATACTTTTATCATTTCTATGAGTTGATTATCAATGTTCACACAGGTCAACATTAGAAAGTGATTGTATCCTTGTAAAGATATAAGTTATTTTTAAAAAAGGTCAAATACCAAAACACTAGTTTATATACGCGTTCATATGAGTCAAATGTTGGAGATTATAACTTCGTTTTCTATGTTCGGGCTATCTCCACTTCATTTACAAAAATTCTATGTTTAGAAACCTCTACTACTAATATTGTGGTATGTAAATGCGGCGGACTGCTATGTATAATTGCTGAAGGTATTGGTGTAAATTGACATAAATGGATGCATCCGAAAATGGGAAACACCACAATAATTTTTACAACTTACAGATTTGTCAATTTTGCAATGAACATTTGAATCTCAATATTGTCTATTGCGAATTTAATGCTTTCTTTAAATGTAATACATTTAATGACAATAACCGAAATGATAACGACAATTGGTATACTTCAGTCAGAAATCTTCCATGGTTTTGTTATTGTGTTATGTATTGAAACCTGAAACCAAACATTTATTCGCTTATTTTTTAATAATATGAATCTTTATAAGGCTCTTATTGGTAAGTGTAGCATAATCTCAATAATGATAAACTTTCAGTTACCTTGTTAAAAAGAGATTTTTTGTCAAGTTCATGTTTCATCAATTTGAATGAAGAACAAATTGTTGTATTGTTTTTGTGTTAGTCATCTGTTAGAGAAAAAGAAGACTCTTTTCATCAAATATTTTGGACACCCAACATATCTCATTATATTAAACTTTACAACTTTAAAATGGGCCTGGCGGTTAGGATTGGTACACTACAACAATTGCAAAAGCATAATTGACAAAGAAATTTAAAGGCCTTTTGATCATTACCTTTTTATACCAAAACATAAACCTGTAAAATATTTATTTAATATTTGGCATCACAAATGAATCGTGAAGATAATAATAAAAACCTTTTAGAATATGAAACAAATATTTTTCATACAAGTCATCTTATTTAAATTTTAATGTGTGTTTATGTATTTATTGCGAGTTGTGACAATCATTTTTTTTGCGCGTTGATTGCAATTGTATTATCAGAACTTGCATTAAACAGATTGGAGAGTACATTTCAAAAGCATTTATGGTATGATACTTTAAAATGTATGCGTTTTATTAATTGTTTAATATTTTAGTATAAAAATTAACACCTGCCTTTTATGGACTTTGAACAATCATGAATTTTGTTTAAAAGCCTAGTGTGGTTGATTAACTTTGTGATCAGTTATTGAATCTCTTCAATGATTAACTTCGTGATCAGTTATGGAATCTATTCAATGATTAATATTAGAGTATAGATATTATATTATAAATGCTTTATGTCCTTTTGTCCTTAACAACAATAATTAATTTATTTATCAACAAACAAATACAAAAAAAGACCGATGTCTGAATATTTCTCATATAATATATTATCACCAAATTGAAGTTGACAAGTTATTAATTAAATCAATTTAGAACGATTGCTTATTTCATTGCTTAATTGTTTTGTTCATTTTAATTAAAATATCTTTAAAGTGGATATAGATACCATGCATTTTAATTCTATATGTTATCAATGTAATGTAGTATAACATTGATATATGTGAACTGTGCTGTATAGCAAGCGTGTTGAATCTGTTGTGGTGATAAAAATATATCAGGGTTTCTAGAAGTAGGCCTCTATTCCACTTGGCACTATTGTTGTGGTGTTGAAAATTAAAAGCAAATAAAAGCAGATTTATCAAAAATATTTTAGACCGATTTTACAGTATTTAATCACCATATTTTTGGTTCCTTTGACCTCTTTTTGATTATTTGCATGTATTGCAAGTACCGAGTGCAATATGTAAATAACTTAATTTGTACACATCACAATAATTTACTCAAAATGTTCATAAAAAGTTAACATAAATCTGGAGGCGTGCTGCTTTAAAGTGTTATTATGCGATATTGAGCCAAATAAAACATACTATAGCTGATAAATCTGTGTATAAAATGTTATTAATTACGAAACGTTAAAGGACCTCTTATTAGTGAGATCATGATGTCTAAGTCGACTGATGTTAATTTGTTTTAATGAGACATTGTAACACAAATCAATTTACTTTATTCACACAGATTAAAACCCGTTTAATTCGTCAAACAATGTTTCGATATGCGTGAAGTTTTTGTCTAGGCGAAAAGGTATTTATTCATTTTTTTTTATAAAATATTTGTCATTTTGACAAAGACAAACATTCGCCTATAAAAAATAATCTCAGCACGATAAACAGAATTTCGTCATGTTTATTAATAGTATGGGACAGTCTATTTTGAAGCTAAAAAGGTAAATGAAAGATTGCACTTCAGATTGATTAACCAATATATTGATAACAGTTATAGATAGTAAAAGTTGCCGTAATAGCTCAATCGGTAGCGCACTACAATCACAAAATGTGTTATGACACAAGACTGACGTACACATTTTTATCAGGGTTTTTCTTTTATTCTCACCATTTATGAATATTATCGCATGGTTTTGAACAGTTCCTTTGTTCAGTACACTTCAATGAACATTTGAAAACTGTATTGATATATAACAGTACAGTTTTTTCATTGATTCATATAGGAAAAAAAAACTCGACGGTTATATATCGGTCGAGTTTTTTTCGCACCTTGTATATATCAATACAGTTTTTTTTTCATAGAGGCTCCAATGGGGCAGTGGTAACGACCATTCCCAGTAGCAAAAAAAAAATGGAATCAATGAAATAAAATAAAATAAATATATTAATACAATGAAAAATATTAACAAAGATAATTAATGAAATAATAAATGAAAATTTACTCTCATTTAACCAAAAGGTATATCCACTGAATGAATTATTTCCACTGAAAAAAATCCCTTTAATCTTGAATCAATCTTGGTAACAGTTTACAATCCGCCTCTACCATTGGATGTCTTTTGTATATTTTTTGCGGCAGCGAAAACAACTTGAAAAAACTGCCTTATCATAAAAACCGGTAAAAAACAAGAAAACATTATGTCATTGCGATAAACAGTTATAGTATATGAAACTCGTTAGTTACAGGGATATAACACTGGCTTGCGCGACATCTCGGGATGTTTCTGCAAACAAAAAAATTGTCTCGGCCTAACGACCTCGCTATTGTTTAGCAGAAACACCCCTTGATGTCGCTCCAGCAAGTGTTATATCCTCGTAACTAACTAGTTTCATGTACTATAACTATTACGTTATATGAATGTGATTATTTAAATTTGATTTACATTTTGTTTATGATTATTTTACTTTCGAGAGAAGTATTTTAAAATTTTTGTTTCATAGAAATGTATTTAATGATATGCGATAGATACAACATTTCAAAGTTCATCTACCATATCTGTTGTCTCTGTTGTTTCTCCGGCTTTTGAGGCTGTGTCGGTTTCATCGTCACTGTTATCACTGCTGCTGCTATCGTCTAATTCATCTTGGATGTTTTCACTTCTCCAATACTCTGCTTCTATCTTTTCCACATGGCTACAGCACTCGGCCCAAAGTCCAGATGTTATGGATGCTTCAGCTTCGTTAACGAGGTGCTGTACATCTGATAACCGAAAATTCAAGTTCTTCTGACCAACATATCCTTTGAGCTGTGACCATATGAGTTCAATCGGGTTAAGCTCTGCATGGTATGGCGGCAGTCGGATAGAGCTATGTCCACGAGCCCTTGACATCTTATCCACAACATATGTTAGTTTCATTTGCTGTTGCTTGCAAAATGCTAACAATTCTACCTTCAGAAGGTCTTCTGAAAAAGTAATGTTGTGCTGGCGTAACCACGCTGGTATATCAGCCTTCCTTGTAGAAGATGTGGGACATCTGTCAGTCTGAAAGTTAAATAAGAAACACTTATTATACAGGCATTTACTTTATAGATAATTAAAATAATATTACACTATTTACCTTTAAAGTTAACTAATAGAAACCGTTCTTAAAATGTATTAACATAGAATGTATTTTATATGTAAAAGTGATATTATAAAATACTTAACAAAAAAACAATATTCATGTTTTTAAACTGAATATTATGATATCCAACGTTGTCTAGGACCACAACAGTATGTGGCTGAGGCTAAGGAATCAGCATTTCCCGGAGCCACTTCTTGAAGTTTTCAGCATTCATCTGTGAATGGTAGTCGCCAGTAGATGACTTGGCCTTAAATACTATAAGAGATCCAGTTACAAAACCGTTTTTGCCACCAGGGTGCAGTATGATGATTCTGTTGCCTTTTCCAAATGGTACCGATAGCCGAGTGGTTTTATCCTGCCAACGTTTCGGGACGGACTGAGATGAATGAATGTATGTTTCATCAACAAATACGATTGGTCGGAAATTTTTCACTCCCCTCAGATAGCGGATGCGTTGTATTGTGACATCTGTTCTCTCCAAAAGCAGTTTCCTGTTACTGTTGCATCGTCTTTAGCGGAAGTCTAGAGACTTCAGAACCTTACGAAACTGAGTTTTCGAAATGCTTATATTCATTGATGTCTCTAGTTACTTACCGATGTTACTCAGGGTTGGAAGCAATTTTTTGAACTGTACATTGTTTATACAGAGCGACTGATGGCACAGAGCTGGAAATTGTCAAGCATCAATACATCTGTACAGGTTTTCTTAGGCAGCTGTGGTCCTGAGGTGACACACGTCTGCCAGTGGAAATGCTGACTCCGCAGGCATCTGCAGTTCTGTCGTTTGGCGCATTAAGAGGAATCGTCAACTTTCCAGTATCTTTCTCTCGCCGAAAAAAATCAAAAACGTTTTTTATAATTTGTCGAAGGCTCAAAACTTTTCAACATGTTGTCTAATAGTATTGAAGCAGAGACAATAACGAAACTTTTGTTCAGTTATATACATGTATATGTGAATTATGTTATGCACGGGATATTTTCGTTCTTTGCTTTGATTTATATTCAGGTGCGTCATTTTGTCATTGTGTTATTACAGTTATATATTCATATGCGAACATTGTCAAACTGATATTTATGTTTTACAGTGAATATAGAATAAAAAAAGAAAAAAGTTCCCCGATGTTTCGATCCCACAAGTAATTATATTTGCAGAGGTGGCCTGCTTTTTAAATTTGTCTTTTGACGTATTATCTGTGATATGCAGGCTTCATAACCTCTGATCCCCTTTCAAAATTCAATTTTATTTAGTTCCGCCCATTGTTTTCTCGTTTAGGGCACACGCATTTTTTTACTTGGGGACCATATGCCGCTTTTCATGGAATGGCACTTACGTGTCACATTGAAGGTTCCATGACAACCGCCATATGAACACATCTGCGGATGTTTCAAAATTCCAAATTGTACCAGTTCATGTATAATGTTGAATTCTGCTTAAGCCGGTGCTAGGGGGCGTGGACGGTAACTTGCACTATCCAGTACCGTCCATGAACAGGCTCAATCAAACCGAGCCTGCAACATTGTCAATTTTGCCGTTTTGGGCTTTCTTTAGGGATTCTGTTTATCTCTATTTTACTACGCTATAGAGTCAGTCGAAATCATATTGTCTTCTAATACTATCTGTATATCTTTAATTGAAATACTTTGGTTAATCACCAGTAGTTTACCTAAAATGTTAATCTTTTCATGAACTGTTCTTTTTTTAGACATGACAAAAGTTCTGTTTATCGTGCTAGGACTATATAGAAAAACCTGCAAGCATATTGAGAAAAGTGACGGAGAATAACAAAAAAATATGATATTGTGTTTGTGAATAAAATAAATTGATAAGGAAGGGATGAATTATACATAACTACAAATGAAATTTCTTTTACGATTTATTCAGATACGTTAGTACTGGAAACCACAATTTCATTTGTAATATAGAAGACATTTTCCAAAATGCATTATAAAATTCATCAGGTAGGAGTTTTCTGTCAAAAAGGAATGTCCGCAATTAAACTATAGCTGTTGCAAAAATTAATTTATATTACCAATTTATTCTTACATGAATGAATATGGTTAATTACATGTACATTGTAAGTAAAAGCTCTTTGAATGTGTACAATGTATACATAATTATGATATTACATAAAGAATAACAAAAGTATATGTTCTTACCATTTGATTATACATAGATCACAGTTCAATTTAGTATAATATCATAAAAAATTACAAACTGATAATTGTTTTAGCAAATTAGTAAATTACAGAAATATCATGCCTTTAAGAGATAAATTTATTTCATATCTATACAAATTGTGTTACCATTTTATCTTCATAAATTATATTGATGATGGTTATGACAACAATAATAAGAACAAACAAATTACAATAATACAACATCAAATTGTTCTTTTACAGCAAGTCAGGCAAATCAAAAGCCCTTCAACCATGTTCGTATGTAGCAAAAAAAAACAAAACAACAACATATACACATATATATTGCAAGATTACGGAGCCCCTAAGTTGACATTTTTCATACTTTTCCCCCGGGACTTAATTCGTTTTTACGAAATATTAATTCGTAATTACGAAATATTAATTCGTTTTGACGAAATATTAATTCGTTTTTACGAAATATTATAATTATTTCGTAATTACGAAATACTAATGTTACTAAAAACGAAATGTTATTTCATTTTTCGTCAAAACGAATTAATATTTTAAAAGGGGTTTTAGAGGGTTTTGGTAACATGTATAAAGAGGGGATTGAAACTATGTTCCTTATTAAATGTTAGACATGTAAAAACAGTGTAAATTTTTTTTCCTCCCTACAGCCTTAATGCGACAGTATAGAAGTACTGTATATAAATTGAATTTCAACACGATGTTATTAGACGAGCGTCTAAACTAACAGCTGTTCTCTTGTGTATCACATGAATTTAAACAAAAACCAATATCCCTGTGGCTACGCCTACAAGGCACACGTGCGGAAAAACGTCAGTACATCATTTCATTATATCTACCTGGTTTGAAGCACTAATTGTTTAAAGCTTATTTACTAAAATAAATTCTTTCAAAATTTGAAAAATGTTGCTATGTCATTTGACAAAAAATATTTAAATACTAAGTATTTTTTCATGATATAGATAACACTTTGCTAGTAAGTTTAAATGGAATTAAGTGTTTGAAATTATTATTAGTCCAACAAGATTGAAGTATTTTAAATGACTCGTAATATATGTACTGTGGTAAATCGGTAGGTTAAAAGAAAATTTACTGTATATGAAAATAATCAAAAACAATTGGTTAGGGGAAAATTGGGAAAAGCGTTTTCCCAAAAGCGGGGGGAAACCCCACCCTTTTTTAAACCTAAAACTTAATATGAAACCCCCAAACGATTTAGTCGCCTGACGTTTTTATAATACTTGACATTTTTTTTTATGTTTTTAATAAAATAAAATAAGTTTAAATTTAAAGGGGAAAATAATACCCAACAACAGGGCGAGTGCCAAATTAAAAAGTTTAAAAATATCCCAAATAAATTTGGGAATAAGGAAAAAATCAATTGATCAAATGAAATTTTTAAAAACCGCAAAAGAAAAAGGGAACGGATTTTTTTAAATTTTAAATAAAATAGGGAAAAAACAAAAATCGATAAAAAACTGGGGGTTTCCATAAAAAAATAAAAAATGCTAGCTTAATAAGGTGTCAATATTTAAAGACAAAACCCGTCCAAATGTAAACGTTTTATTCAGTCAAATTCACAAACACTAATAAAGAATCTACTACAAAGTAAATCATTCCATCTGTGAAGCTCAGATGATATAACTGCACAATGTTCGTTGCCATTTGAATTGCTCGGCTGTCCGTCTGCCCAGTTTTCAAATTTTTTGTCAACTTCGCTTCCATCCACCCAAACAAATAAACCCTCATGATCGATATCTGTAGCTCCAAGCCATGAATGCAAATTTCTTGGCTCTGTAACACAGATATTAACATATTAATGAACACAAAAAAAATTATTTTAAAGATTGTATTTAATGTATTAATTTCTACAACAAGACATAAATTGTGGCTGGCAAATGAATAATTTACGTAACATATTCTGATATATATTATTTGATGAACTATTTAAATGGTTAATGTTTACTTACTTATTAGACTGCCTACAAATGCATTTTCTTCCAGTGACTTTATATCTAGCAAATGACCTCCAAGCTCCGAGCAATGCGCCTAAAATTGTTAATGCTAATTTGTATTAATCAATTTCTCAAATAAGGTATAAATATATTAATTCGAGTGTCATCATACTTTTTGTAACGAATCATTAGACAAGTAAATTCTTCTAACATAGTTATGGTGATATTTTGAAATGTGTTCATTTAAATAAAGTATAAGAGTGTGTTATTTAGAGTGGTGAAAAGACGTTTCAAAATTAACTTTCTTGGTTCTACCAAGGTGCGTATTAATCTGGCACGTTTATTATAACATTGTTCTTAACAGCAGAAAAAAAGCTTTCTCTTCAAAGATTTACATACAAAGAGATGATGTCTCGGCGGTGAAAATTAACATATTATTGAAATGTTTAGATGATTAATAACCACATTCAATTATACGCAAACCCCTCCAAGATGACAAACTTACCCTTAAACCCTATCAAACTGATTTTCCGCCATTTAGTCGCCCAAAAAAGGAAATGTACTTAAAATAGAAGAATTTGTGAATATATATATATATTTATATTGCACGTTCAATTTAAAGTAACATATGAAAGTATAATCAGATGATCAAAATGACAGCAAAGAGTCATTTAGCAGATTATCGATCCTTTTGAAGACCATCAATTCGAAGCGCCTCTTCAAGCCCTGGCGTTCCGTTAATGTACTCAGTTTAAATTCGTTTGAAGACGAAATAAATATACAAAAAGTAATAAAATATATTCTGAAATTTTGAAATATATCCTCATTTTAATCCTATATAATACAAATTCCGATCGTTATTGAGTCGCTCAACTTATTTTATTATATCGGACAAATTATCCAGTAAAGACTTCTAAGCTATTATAGCTAATATCTAAACCCAGTACTCGGTGTGCGCGCGTTAGGACCATAAAGTAATGTTGCTATGTACGGTACGGGTTGTTACATTCTGACGTCTAATAATATCATAAATGAATTACGTGACGTATAAATGTTTACAAACAATTTTGTGTAAACGTCTTTTTATCACTCAATATATATTTGAACATTTCAGAACTTCTTGGAGTAAAAACTTTAACACTTACGCAAAAATTGGATTGAAAATTCTTGTAAAATAAATGTTCAAATTATAATCAAACAATACTATGAGAAAACTATATAATATTGAACACAGGAAATAGTTTATATATTTTACCTTTGCATCAGCCCATGTCTTTGCTTCTTCAACAATCAGGGTAAGCTGAAATGTATAAAATTCACAAAAAAAGAGGTAACATAATGACGACTTTTAATAACAAATTTATTATCTGCGTGTTACACTTTAATATATTTAGATATATTACAATAAATTAAGCATTACTATATTTGAAAAGGAATAACACGCTCCTTTCAGGCGTTTGTTTCACAAGAAGTTTTAAAGTAAACACTTGTTTTAAAGTAGTCACATCTATCATTTTATTCAAACAGATGTTATAAAAGATGATATACTATATAGAAGTGTCTTGGCGATTTTTAAATATATTTGATTATATAATTTTAGTAACAAATTTATGCATGCGAGCAAACACGTTTTATTCCCAAATTAATAATTATATATAGAGAGGTCTTTGGA